AAGAATTGTAATATTAGCTAGTATACGCGGATATGTAGCTCCGGTATTTTATTCGTCTCAACATATTATCCTCACAGGCGTCCTAACTTGTTCCCAGGACTCCCTCGAAAGCTGGCGATGTGTTTAGTGGTCGGCTATTGTCTCCGAGTAGGTTGTACGTAGTACGATTTAAGCGTGCATTAGGTATTGACACCACCATTTAAAAAAAAGGTGAAAATTAACATACATTCATAGATTCACTTATCTGAACATTTTAAATTCGAATTCTTCTTAAATTAATTTTGAAATTGGAAGCCTTTAATTTTTTTGGTTTTGATTTAAGGTCTTGATGTGATTTAAACCTTATTTATAAATTCTTGCACGATATTAACTTGTAGACGTAGATTTATGCGTACAATTGAGGTAGATTATTATATACGATGCGTGTTTCGCTATTCTATTACTTTTCCTAGAAGCTATTTATTAGCCTTTAGTTTACCGACAACCACTTATATAAATAAAACTAAAACGCAAAAGACATTTAGTTTAGTTATAGTCATAATATAACAAAATTCTATTCCGAAAAGGAAAAAGTTACAATTTTAAACAAGGCAACAGTTTTGAAATATAATTTTAAATTAATTATTGTTAACTGTTGTATACATTTAAACTCTATTAAGCCCACTAAGGATTCATTACAGCAGTATATTATAATTATAATGGAGCCACGTAATTATTATCAGTTACCTAATTGATTAGTTGGTCACTTGTCACTTAATACGACATCGGTAAACCGGGCGCATAATCTGCTGTTTGTACTTGTGTACACTAAACAAATCAATTGTTAATGGAGAGGATAATATTATAGCCCTTGAAGGTCCTTATTTTAATGTTAGAGTAAAGGTTAAAATATTGCGACACGAGTCTTCTACGGTTTAATGTAGGTAAATAATTAATATATTTTCAAATAATACAAGAAAAAAATGGCTAGGAACAGACTAGAGGCACTAGACTAATTGGTATAGTAGGACTTGTTTTTCTTTATCATTGCTAAGTATCGTGTAACTAATTTTATATATCTATTAAACGATTTCTGAAACTGTAAAGGATTCATTTAAACTTTATTCTTCGTTGTTGTTACTTAGGTATAATATTTGTGGCATGTATCAGTTTGTTTTCTTTTTGCTAAATAAATAAATATTCTATATGTAAAGATAACTGCTTTTCAGAGGAACTGTAATGAAGCCTTAATAAATGTTCCCAAAATTGAATTGTCGAATGTCGCTCGCGTCTACACCGACACAATATTACGTATCTACAGACAGGTAAATCTGTATGTCAAGCTGTTGACTATTCGCAGTGAGTTTAATTTCCTGGCCTGGAAATTACTCACGTTAATGAAAACGTGAAAGCTCCAGAATAACAGCTGAACGTAAAACGTCGCGTACAATTCTTTTTAGCGTAGTAAAAATACACTAAAAATCTATTCTTAAGCCAAGGAAGCAACCGAGCAAGTTAACGAATGTATATTCAATATTTCAATTTAAAAAATCCTGCAGAACCACTGAGACAAGAGAAATATATATTTTCGGTTATACCCACTAAAATAATTCAGCCCTCTCCGCTTAATTAATTGCGTAATACCATGTAAGCCCTCTAAATCCCATACCATAACAACTATTTGCCCTCAGAAAAATGCGACATCTTAAGAAGCACTAAAACATGATCGCGTCACTTGTTTCTCGCAGATGGAGACCCGCGCGAGGTAGAATTTATGACGCTATTCATCAGACCTCTTAGAGAACGAACCTTATTCTATATTTTGTACTCTATGGCTTTACTTAGACACGGTTTAATAATAAAGAGGAACGTGACGCGTCTATTATTTATTTTGCAAAGCAATTGTGTATATGTGTAAAGTGGAAAGTCCTGTTTGGCCCTGTGAGGCATGGGGCCCACATTTGATTGTTCGTAATGTTTGATCAGACTTCTGAGCTCCGCTTGACCGAAACATTTTTTTACTAGTCAAAAGCCTTTCTCACTAGTGCTTCAAAAAAATTAGGTCGTTACTTTAAAAGCCTGTTCCAACCGTGGACTGCAGCCTTATTTGATTCTCTTTGTACTCTAAAAACCCTTTTCTTATTATAATTTAAGAAATGAGTCGTGGGAATATTACAAATTTTTATCCTTAAAATGGAATATCGGCTTGATAATATAATTATACAATTATGAACCATATTTGAGACTATTAAATACTACTTCATTGTTCTTGTTGAATCTTTGTTCCAACATAAAAATGCCACAGCTGGTCATAGGTCCCATTTTTCATGGTAGCAGGTTGAAAAGATTTGGCTTTACCAACTGCTTCCATGTGAGAATGACTGCCTTTAACGTTTACTCCTGTTAAATTTGTAACAATAACCAAGGTTTAGGGCTAAACGTACTTTAAATAACAGATGATGAAACTTCAAACTTTCTGTGGGACTAAAAAATTACCTAGAAAATTTCCTTATACCAAATTAAGATTTCACAATATCGAAATGTTGGTATGGAAGCTGTAGACTTCGTCACCTGCAGTGGAGTTAATCACTTGTCCCACGAAACATGTTTCTGCAAATGGTAACTTAAAAATGATTACGGCCTGACGTTTCGGACACTTTGCAGTAGTCGTGGTCACTGGGAGATTAAATATGGAGGTTGTCTCTAATGTCAAAGTAAAAACTGTTCCTATGTGGTAATTGGTGAGACTGGTCGGGTCCATGCAGAATTAAAATAAAATAATAATTAACGGCTGCTGCAGAACATTCAAAACGTCGGGCCGTACTAAAATAACTTTAACTATCGTAAATCGTTAAAGTTTTTTATTACCAAATATTAATGACTTGCGTGACTTGAACCTGCGACCGTTGCGTGCACCAATAGCGCTGAACCTCAGCGTCCTCATTAAACAATACTTCTGCGTAATTAATAATCAAGTTACAATCCCGCTTAAAGTTGTATCATTTTGTAAGAGGCTAAGCAGGGATGGCGCAGTGCTTAGCGGCAAATTCGTTCTACGACGCGCAACTTAAATGAAGTTCTGTGTAATTACTCAGAGCGGCGGTTAGCTGGGCTCAGTTTTGGTGACAGACGCCTCTCGCGGTGTAATTGGAGGCATTCTTACGTTAGGTAGATACATGAGACCCAATCTGATGTTACAAAGCCCTACAAGAAATTTCTATGTAAATTTAATTAACTTTATCTAAATGGTTTCAACTATTTATGAATTAAATTAATATCTCGTATTTATGGTTTAGGGAAACTTCATTAGGGTTTACGTATATTTTCAGAGAGCATCTTATTTTGATTGTCATTAATTGAATTAATTTACTATGAATGTATATGTGTATAAATGTCTATGTGTGTAATGTATATAAACATAATCGATAAGCGAAACAAGACGTGTTTGCACAATCGTTGTGTTTCACTTTTTGTTAGGCTTGATATAGAATCCAACCAATTACTTACGGTTACGTTCGTACTCAAAATTTTCAGAGCTTAACATTTGATTGTAAGGTAAAATTTATTTAATTTCTTACCTAAATCAACCGAGGTTTCTTATAAGATTAAACCTTATTATAGATATTTCTTACCATTCAATTTACTTTTATTTTAAAATCTATTTTTTGTTAATAGTTACTACTATACAACCATTTTAGACATACTTGTTTAAAATGGTAGTATTGTTAGTATAAAACCATAAAACATTTTCTTTGCAACGGTTATTAAAATACTTATAAAACTCCAGCTGATTATGAATTTTTAATAAAAAGTGAGCAATTTCTTGCGCTAATTTCGAGAGAAAATTTAAAGTTATACTCTGTTGCAAACTTATTCCCGAGTAGCCCGATTGAATTGAATGAGCTCGACCAAATCGGAAGTTTAATCTTGTTTTATAGAGTATCTGTGAGGTTATAAATTGTGATCAATTTTTAAATTCATTTAGCGCAAGAGATATTTCTCGCCGATGGTACACGCGAGTGTTACACTCTAAATAAAATACTTTTTGACGTTAAAATGCGAAATATTAAATTTACTTTTAACGACGATCTGACGTTCAAATTATATTTTCTAATGTCTCGTGGTATTTCTCGAGTTCTACTTAAACAGGAAACTTCTTTCGAGAATCCGAAGAAATACAATATTTCATAAACTGTCATCATATGTCTTTTGTTGTTTTTCCAATTGGCATTACACATACAAATACATTTTTAAATCTTTTGTTCTTTATTCTTTATGATATTGAGGGTAATTTCACATTTGGTACAACTTTAAGCGAATATTTATCTAATTAATAGCCCTTCTTACTATGCTGTATTTTTTTTATTTACAGTATTTTATTTCGCCCACCTTGCCTATCCCGTAAACTTTCTCTTCTTTCGTCTTGGGTTGCCTGGAAGAGATTGCGTGTTAGCGACATTTTTAGAATACAAGTCTCTTTGATATATTTTTTTATTTTGTGCAATAAAGTGGTAATAAATAAAACATATCTCGTTTTTCTAAGATTGGTACGCGAAGCAAAAAAAGAAATTAAGACACACAAAAATTTCAATCTTGCGTTACGTCTATCTTGAAGTTATCAAACCCATATTGAAAACTATGAATTCCAAAAAACAGCATAGTAGTAAACGCGAAGACACCGTTAGTCAATTCTGTAAGGACCCGGCCAGTTTCGCCAAATACTAACTTCGACGAAAAAAATCGCTAGCGTAGCACCCTCTGTCTTTAGTTTCCCTGTGACCACGACTGCATCCGAAACGTCGGGCCCAAGTTAAAATAATTCGAAAACGATTTACTAATATATATCGCTTTTTAAACCGTTAAAGTAATTTATTTAAATGTACTACTCGCGTTAACTACAGACAGTATTTAATATCTCGTGAAGTTGGGCGTAATTCCATAACCAGCATTGGTTTCCCATTTAAAACATAATTTTGTAAATGAGAAAACGTTAGGAAGTGTTGCCTTAGAATTCCATCGGCATGCTTGTCTGGGTGCAGTCGTGTTTGGCTAGTGGCGGGTGGGCAAACTCGCTGCGGCCGAATTTGCAATTCGTTTGTGGACTGCGAAATAGTCTTCGCAAGACCAACTCTTTTGTGGATTTCTCGGTTAACGACCCAGACGCCAACGTCGTACTTATGCAGTTCGGTCACATAGTATTTTTCGCAGATATAAGTGTTCAAGTTGCACTACGATTTTCCATTTTCCCTCTTCGTATTATTGGGAGGGGAGAAATCGGTGGATTTGGCTGTTGCCGATTCAAAGTTTGCTTGTAGTTTACAATATTCAAGTGATAAGGATTCAGCGTTATTTGGAAATTTGTTATGTTAAGTAAAACGTTAAAACGAATTTATTGAATACTGTGTGTAGTTTCGAGTAGTACACATTTTAATAAAACACTTTAACGGTTTAAAACGCGATATACATCAGTTAAACTTATTTGGAAAATATTTTAACTACGGCCCGACGTTTCGGATGCTTTGAAGCAGCCGTGGTCACGGGTAGACTGAAACGTCGGCCCGTAGTTACAATAATTTTCAAATAAGTTTAACTAATATATATCGCGTTTCAAACTGTTAAAATGTTTTGTAGTTGTATGTATGTGTTTGTAGGTCTTTAGTACTTTTAAAGCATTTCGTATCGGATATTGGAACGGCAAAAATATATAATAACATAAGAAAGTAAACCAGATTACCAAAAATATAACACTCCCTGCATTTTCAAACCTAAGTACTTTAATTGTTTACTTTTTACACATTACAAGGTGTAAAGTATTTAGGCAAAAAGTATTTCTGTTCTCTCTCTAAAACGCAGCGGTTAACTTGAAAGGCAGTTAAACACTTTTTTCTTCGCTAGGCAGAATAACATTGTTACATTGCAGCAAGGGTTTTTCTAGCGTTTACTATCTTTAGCCTACATTATCCTTATCGTATTGTATAGAGTATGATACATAGCACTATATATATATTTATAACCAGTACTATCAAACACAGATCCAAGATTAGCAGGACCTCGGAGCTGGGAATGAGAAAATTAACTTTTAAATGTAAATTTTACGAGGAAGTCATAATGTGAAAGCCGCCGCGGTTACAACTGATTTATTGCAGTTGGAATTGAAAGTGTTAAAGGAGTTGCAATCTGAAAAAAAGTTTTAATAGGTGTGTCTTTAAAGAAATATAAATCAGAAGACTAAAGCGAGTTCAACTTCGTGAAGTTGTTCAACGTTTAGGATCATCTACCGGAGTGTCTATTTAATGACGTCAATTTGTTTAACTAATCAAGGCGGGCATTCATTTGCCTCAGTTAAGACGAGGAATCGTTAAAGTGCGATCTTCGCGAGGGAGACGACTAAAATACTTTTTAATGTTAGAATACTAGTATTGCTCTACTAAGCGTTATTTCGTTACAACATATTCGTCTCGCATTGAGAAAAAGCAATGTATCGTTAATACTGGGCTAATAATCAACAAGTCCAAATTTTTTCTAATCAATTTGTAATTTTTCTATAATATGTTGGCCTTTGTTTTAATATTAAACGGGTGGAATATCGAAATTCCATCCGGGTCACTAACCACCGTCCACAGATGAAAAAGCCGTGGATGTAATCGCGTTTCGATTTCAATCTGTGGATTTGAGAATATCCAAAGCCAAAATAGATCGACATTGCATCGTATTTAGATGTTATAGAGCTGGGGTATTTTATCTACCATCACGTGAGCCATATGTCTGTCTGTCCTCCTCTATCATAAAATTTGGTTGGTGGGCTTTATCGACTGCTGTCTGTACTTTGTAGTAGAGTATTCTTATTACTAGATCTACGAAGCAATTGAAGAACATATTGAAATATATGTACTCTAAATATAATTAGCGTTGAATCTCTAGGAAACATACAAACAAGATTTGATTATTAAACATAATGTTGACTTATCTGAATGGGCCGAGTATAAAAAGCCTCCACTTCTAAATTCGTGTTTACACGCCGTTGTTAAACATAAATAAAAACAAAAAGGCCTCCTTGTAATATTAAAATTGGAAGTCTCTTTTTAAATATTTGTTTCATTTGTTTATTTAGGTTCAGCTGTCGGCAATGAATTGGCGGGAAACGCTTTAATTTTTATAGCTTTACAAAAAGCTATGTTTTCATCGTACATTATTTTTATATCTTTACGTTATTAAAAATTAAAACAAAGGTTAAGATTATAATATTTTGAGTCTGAATACTGCTAATTAAATTAATTCAATATCCATCTTATAGAATATTCTATAGACAGACTTTTTTTTAAGTAAACAAACACGTTATAAAAACAAACTCTTCGGCTTTATAATTATAGTATAAAATATAGTTTATAATTTACGCGGGTACATTTGAATACAACACTTTAACGGGTTAAAACGCGATATATATTAGTTAACGGCCGGACTTTTCGGATGCTTTGCAGCAGCCGTGGTCACGGGAAGACCCCGTATATTGAAATATTAGTATAGATCATACAATTATATTTTATCACAAAATATGCATGAATGAATACAGTTAAAAATGTATCTTATGGAAATAAAAATGTTGCTACATTCTTAACAAGCGGGAACATTATCTTTGATCTATTTCGTTATAATTCATTTCCCCTTAACTAAGTATAGACGGCTCTTGAGGCACAAACGCCATCAAGAGGAGCTCTGTCAAGCAGAAGTGTCGTTAAGTGCTGGGTCGTACCGTCTCTGACAATTACCGACACGGGCCCATAATGACCCAAAGAGACCCTTATTAAAACTTACTCCACTCCTAGCGAAGTTTTAAGTAACTATGCATATTAATTATTGTTACTTCGATACTGTAATTTGTGATCTTAATAGTTTGTCATTTGCGTTTTAGCCCATTAAAAGACTACGTTGAGGCCCTTAGTTGCAAACTTACTGTAGCTTCTTATATTAAAACAACTCTGATTACTTCTGTAGCACAATGGTTTAGTATTGCGTTAAGACGTCCTGGGTTTCAATCTTGGATTTTTTTTTATTTGGGCACAAAAATCAAATATATGATCTCCTTATTTTGCCCTATCTTTCTATATTCAATTACTGGCTCGGCTTTGTCCACGCCCATTCCCACCTGCGGCTCTTGTGATAATGACGTCATTACTATTGTTCGTGCAGACGACGCACTGCAACCACAATCATGCTTATTATTTTATATAATTATATATTTAAGGATATTAAAAGAGCACGGTACTCAGTTGGTCGTGGGCCTGAGTCTCTCATGTATCATGGAATATTTTAATATTTTTTACAAGCATCGGGTTCATTTGATAGGTAAAATAGCCCAGCCTATAGCACCAAAACAAGATGCGCTGTCGTCTTATATTTGCTTTGGATTTTCGGAAATCCGAAACCTGATTAAACTTCAGGGCTTTTTCACCCATTTAAAATCCAGTTTTCCAGACGACGTTCAACATGTTTCAGAAAAATATACATTAATATCGATTTTTTGTTAGCTACTGTTGTTTATTGGAAAAGCAAACGCACATAAATGCAACGAACCATTATTCAGGCTCAACATAAAAATCAATTTATAAGTACTCAATAAAGTCGCCGATTTATATTAAAAAACGTTAGTCAATGTAAAATAACTTCGGCCCAGTGGGCGGAGCTGAAAGGAAATAAAAGCGGTAAGGAGTTGACCATTTCCCGGGCTTGCGAGGGTCGCAGTGGAGTTTTATTGAATCCAGTGCTTATTATTGTCCCAGTTTAACGCCGCTACGATTCGACACTCACTGTTAGCTGGATTAAGTTTGTTCGAACACCACTGCTTTGCTGCAAATTCTTACTTCGTTAACGGAACAAAAAAGGATAAATCCCAACAGAATTGCTATGTGCACGTTTTCAGTCTGCTTATTACTTTAGTACTCGGACCAGTACGACTCCTAACTACATACGAGCACAACTCGCGTTCTAATTTTATGGATGTTCTTTATTTGATTTTATTTACTAGGTGCATACACATAACAAAATTCACTTGATGTGAAATTTTCATGAAACTAAATTGAACGAACTTGAATAACCAACAAAAACATAAATTTAAAAAAGGGAAGCCGATTTCTAAACAAAAAATGTGCTAAGTTCTATGCAAAATCCAAGTATGTACTTATAGGAACGAAATAATATTATGAACAAGTAATATACTCTATTTCTTTGCTATATTAGATATGCACAATTGCTTTTATTAAGTTTATTAGGTAACATTTGACTTGGCGAGTTATTATCAGAATTACTCTATAAAACAAAGTCGAAATTAAACAAAAAAAGCATGACAAATGATCATGAGAAATGTGACATATCTTAGGGATAAAATTCGACGGAAGGTATCGTTCAAGCAAGGTAAGTCGAGTTTTACACATATAAGAAGTTCTGAGAACTGCTATAAAGATTATTTACTTAATACAAGTTGGACGAATTACCAGTGTATTTATTATAAGGAGAAAGCGTAAACATGCCGCACAAAATAAAATAAAACAGGTTACACTTTAAAAAGATTAAATGCCGCATTTTTGAAAACTGCGATTCAGTTAACGCCAAAAGCCAAAAGCCATTTTAAAAGTTGTAATTTCTCTGCGAGGTTATTTATCGCTAGTTAAGAAAGTTATAAAGAATGTCGACTCTTATGAAAAATACCTTGTAGACGAATCAGTTAGGGCGTGCGTCCCAGCTGTGCCTCGAGTTATTTCGTGTGTGATATTTTGGAAAGGTTTATATCGGTCGCTGCTTGTGCAAGATGTGTTGATGATTAGAAGCTAGTCCTGTTCACGTCATCTGACCCTTTAATACATTACCTCAATATATAGTTTTGTTGTGTCAAACAGAGCATGGAGTTTACTTGATCTAGTGTGGTTTTGGATATTCGGAAACTTACAGACTTACACCGGAACGCGATTAAATCTCACGGCTTTTTCATCTGTGAAAGGTTGGTCGTGACTCGTGTGGAATTGCAATATTCCTACCACCCATTTAATCCAAAAAGTTTCCAGATAGAATCCAATATGTTTCAGAAAAATTATAAATTATTCAGAATAAGGTAGAACCTGACGGAGATCGAACCCACGACCCGGTCTTTAATTTTGAAAAGGTACTAATTCCACTTATACATATTAATTATATTAGTCTCCCTTTTTAAAGGCGTTTTTTTATTTTGGGTTAAAATAGTACATTAATTCTGTTGTCCAAGGCTAGCAGACGATGTTGTTCCACCGTAAAATCGATCAATGGAACAGGCACAGGATTATGTTTT